GCACAGGCGCACAACCCTCCCGTGGCTCTTCACCGCTCTGCCTCAATAATTTATAGCCACTGATTTTATAGTCAGTTCCTCCTGACGTGTTTATCTTATCTTAATAGGCCTCGCCACTTCTGGGCATTACTTTCCTTCCAAGTCCGCCTCTTATCTATTGCTACTTAAAATCGCAACAATAAATTTATCGGGGCATTCAAACTCCATGTACTGAATATAATATGTTCGTTTTGAGAATACTCCATTTCCATAGTCAGGAAACGAACCTTCTTTTACTATGTATATTTTCATTGGCAGATCAATTCAATTTTAAACCTTTTTTTAACATAAAAATACATTTAGTAAATTTGATAACAGAGAATAATAACATGAAATCACTTGTTGAGAAACTATCCACTGGTGGCACTTTAAAAAAAAAAAACTTTTTTTCAGACGCCTCGGAGGTTTATCAGGGATAGAAGGGGAAGCAAAGTTAGTGACGAGAGGGTTCGGATGGTTCTGAAGTTTATTATGGAAGGATAGGTATCTGGATTGGGCCAAATCGGAAACATAAGTCACATTAAGGTCGTTATGGATTATTTTATTTTTGACAAAGTAAGGAGGATTCAGGATTTTCAGAAGGATTTTGAATTGTAAGGATTGGATACGAGAGGAATCCGATGGCTTAGTGGAGCCCCATAGCTCAACTCCGTAAGTCCAAATAGATCTTATTAGTGTCATGTATATCAGTCTTTTGTAATTAACTGGAAGCTTAGAACGTTTGTCTTGTAAGTGCTGAAGTAATCGGAAACGTCGGGCAGTTTCTAGTCGTTTCAGTTTGGTATGAGGATTCCAAGTTGGCCGTTTGTCCAAGTGGAGTCCAAGGTATTGGATTTTTTCAACAGCTATGAGTGGAGTATTATTAAAGGATACTGTGGGACAGGAGGTCATAGGTTTAGGGCGAAGGGTAAAGGTGATTTGATGGGATTTATTAGAATTTATTTTAATCCTCAAAATTTTAACCTTAAAATGTAAACTTCAAACTATCCAATCATGACTTAATACTAGATATATAAAGATATGAAATTATAGACTTCTTATGAATTTAAGTTTTTTGGTTTTGGATTTTTCATTTTCTGGTTCCCGCAACAGGGATACTATCTAGCTTAGTCAGCGATGATAGTATTATAAATTTGAAGTTTAAAAAATTTGAAAAAGAATTTATTATCTCCAATATATATATCAATGGATTTCATAATGTTTTATAATTACTATTTAATAATTTCTTTCTTTGCTTTAACTTATATTGTTCAATAACAAATATATTTTGAGAAAATCGTTTATATATGAATTAATGTATCTTTTAATTTTTAATTTGATTAATATCTTATGTTTTCTCAATTTTCATATTGTCCAAAACAATAGCAGTATTAAAAATGTAAACTGAATATTCATATATATATATATATATATATATATATATATATATATATATATATATGCGTATATACTGTATGAAGTATTTACAAATTTGTAAATAAACTACCCTTGCAAAATTTTACTATTCAACAAAATTTGTTGATATTTAGGAAGTTTTGGTATTAGAGTCACAACTCACAAACTGTAACAAGTAGATACAAAAAATATATTAGAAGAACTAATTTTTGTTAAGCTTATAAAGAAAACATTCGTTTACAGTTTCTACAAAATTAATGTATGAAATCGATATATATCGATATCTTGGTTTTTTTATATTTCAGTTCGATCCTTATCCTCTTCAATTTCTCTTGTATTGGTAGGCTTCCTGGTATAATACTTTCTACCCTCCCCTTCCCCTCTCCCCAGCAGAAGTTGATTGAATTTGTTTTGTTTGTTTAATGTGGTTCAAAGGCTGGTAAAACCCTGGGGACATCAATGCCAAAGTTGATTGGATATATTTTACTTTGATCAAACTATACATCGTCCTTTATTGTCCAAAAGAATAAATAATACAAAGGCCTTCGGTACAGTTTCATTTTAATAAAATTATAATGATTCGTCTAATATCACTAAAATAAACATATAACTAGAGTTCCTAACATACAGGTGAATAGTTAAGCTTTACACTTGAATCGTAAAATAATATAATCACAAAATTTAGAAAGAAGGTGGCCTACAAAACTTACCTTTTCCGATAATTTTCGTAAATACGAAAAACAACTAAGCTGTGTGCTTAAGACCACACGATAGAAGTGAAATCATCAAGGAGAGATTAATAATATGAAATATAATTTATGAACATAATTTATATTTCCATCTCCTCAGTAATCAATATTCCGAATATATGTAAAATAAAGTTATTTTGTACTTTAGAGATATCAGTTACTCTATACCAATATCTTGCAGATATCTCTGTATGTGTCATATTGCTTATTTGTACAAATACGTACCTATATGTAATCTTGTGAACACCCGTATGTAATCATCTTAAAATTCATATGTCTACTTCAAGATCATATGTTTACTACAGTGTCTTTATTTTTAATATTAAGAATTTTTAATAGTATGAAAAATTTATATTTTTCTTTATTTTAATATTAAGGTTAGATAACTTTGTAAATTAATTTATTTTTAATTGTCATTTAATTATTCACAATCGTCAGACAATTGTCTTTTCTCTGTTCATTGTAGTTACTCTGAAGGGACTAAATGTTCCAGAATAAAATTTACTTTCTATCTATCTTTCAACCCCATACAAATAGAGTCTATCTCAATATTATAAACATTATTAAGCTTATTGTACTACGATATATTTTATACGATACGATATATATACTATATAAAAGTATTAGAGATATAAGTTTTTTTAGTTTGATTTTTCCCATTTGTAACCTAACGTTGTATTTCTGTCGGTTATTAAAGTATTTACGCATTTATATTAACTAGTCTTCGAAAAGTGGTCCAAATTCCATCTCAATCACTATTGAACATTTGAGAGAAACAAAAAGGAATTGGAGTGTTTTCAATTTTTTTTTTATATTAAATATCACAAAGTTTTGGCCATGTGAATAATCTTTAAAAAAAAAAAAGGAAATTAGATTAATTATAATAATAATTTTCATTATCATTTGTTTTCTTTAATCGTATAAAATATGATCTGGTAACAGATGTTTATATAAGAGAAGAATAACACTGATTCAAATGTAACTGATACTTTTCTATAACAGTTACAAAAAGTAACTACCGGGAATAATGTGCAAAAGACCCGTTTTTTTCAATGAACAAGTTCAGAAAAAAATAACTCTTTGATCCTTAATCTGATTCCCAAAAGGACAAGTCTGAGGAACTATTAGGATTCCTCGGGTCTTTAGAAGCCCAAATAGATTATTGAGATTCGAAAGTAATTTCTAAATTAAACTGACTGTATTAAATGGAATCGAGACTAGAGAAGGAATTAAATTGAGAGATAGTTGAGCCCTTTGCGAACTGACGGAGCATACTTAGTGCTAAGTAATCTGTCAACTATTTTAATATATATCCACTTCAATACTGATCTTATTACTGCAATGGATAGGATCTAGTAATAAGTCAATGCAGAACGGTTTCATCAAGCACTAATAAACAACTGACAGTTTGAAATTTCCGATCATCACGTATTATTATTTAGCAACAGCTAAATAAAACTAGTGACTTAATATTTTTCATTGTTTAGAAATAGCAAAATTTATTTTGGAAATTAAAACTTAAATTGTTTTCTTAGAATAGCTATTTTATTAATATGAAAGAGCAGAAATTAAAAAAAAAATAATAATAAATTGTTAGAATATAACTATAAGTTACAAAACCTTCACATAAAGACATTATAAGGACAGAAAAAACAAAATCACATAAAAGCATACCTTAGATAAGTACATCTCACATCAACATATTTTTTTTACCATGTGTTCTTTTTTCTTCATATGTTTTTTTTTTTTTTTTTTTTAACACACCTATCCTTCAACTATACACCTTATTATAAACTTCATATAGCCTACTATTCCATTACCGCTTTCAAAAAACTGAATGTCAATTGTCATTTATATATATTACAACTTGTTTTCATCATCATAGCCTTGTTTACATATAAACTTACATTCTAAATTTCTCTTCTTTAAAGAAATTTTCTTATACAGTTATATATTTAATAAATCTATCCTAACGATATTACAACTAATGTTATCCTATTAATCTTTCAATTTCTTTATTTGTTAACCTTTAGTCTTGTTATGTTTACCTACATTTATCAAATGTAACCTACACTAGTTTGTTATCCACTGATATCTTATTATTATGTTATCTTATTCTTATTTTTGCTTTACTAGATCATAACTTATTCAATTTTAATTCCTTTATTCGCCAACATTCATTTTCTTTATCTGGTAACCTACAGTTATCAAATGTAATCTTTACCAGTTTGTTATACACTCACTTCTTATCTCTTATCACAATCTGTTTACTTTTATCTTACACGCTATATTCTCCTTCGTTTTCTATTTTTATTCATACTTATTTTCTATTTTTGTTTGCATCTTATATATATATATATATATATATATATATATATATATATATATATAATACTTGACATTTTAACTACACTGTCACCCACTATATCTCTGATGTCATCTTATTATTTCTTTATCAGATAACTGTTTCTTATTTAATATCCACTTATAATTCATTTATTTGATTTTCATCATGTACCTTTTATATTTTGTATCTTTTGTAGCCCTGATGAAGACCTAAAATGTGAGTAGAAAAATCGGCTTAATAATTAAAAATAGTATTTTTTAAAATTTAGTATTTATTTGACGGCACCCACCGACCAACTCCTTCTCATATGTTCTTTTTATTTTTGATTGTTTACTAGTTTTAAGAGGACAGAGGCTTTGTTTTTAAAATCTTCTATTATATTTTTTGTCATTGCATATTGCATATGTATGTATATTTATTATTTAAATATATTTATTATTTAAAATAATTAATATTATTATATTTTTCAGCTCTCGGAGCTGGAACAGAGGGTTATCGATGCGGAGAGCAGGGCGGAGGAAGCGGAAGACAAGGTAACATAATTTTTAATAATTATTTATTTTATTATTCATTAAAAATTAATAATAACCATATTATATATAGTTCAATATATACATACATTCTGTGTATATATTTATGGATTGATAAAGTACTTAGTTTCTATTCTACATATTTTGTATCTAATGCGGGTCAATTGAAATATGATGTAAATAAAATTAAGCCTAAAATATGGCAGTAATGAATACAATATCACATATAATAATTAATTAAATGATTTTTCATTTATTTCATAAATGAATTTTTTTCTGTATGAAATGATATGTTTATTTTTTTGTTTTTTTTATGACATTAATTGTATTTCTCATTATTTGGAAGCGCTACAGAAACTGCAAAATGTATAGTATATTGTATACGCTGTTGTCTATAAGTATCTATAAAAAATATAGGTGTATAATTTTTTTATCAAAATGTTTTATTATTTATGAAATTTACAACTGTACATTTAATATACATTCAGTAAATGTGATACAGATAAATACATGACATGACAAGGCTTGTAGAGAATCTACCCATTGGTCACACTCTAATAAAGTTTCTAAATTAGGAGATCACGAGGACATCTTCTTTTCAGACCCCTAGGAGGGTTATCAGGGATCGAAGAGGAAGCAAGATTAGAAACGAGAGGGTTTGGATGGTTCTGATGCTTGTTATGGAAGGATAGGTAGCTGGATTGGGCCAGGTCAGAAACATAAAGAAAAATAAGGTCTTTATGGATGATTTTATTTGTGACAAAGTAAAAAGCATTGAGGATTGGATACTAGAGGAATTCGAAGGCTCAGTTGGGCCGCAAATCTCAATTCCGTAAGTCCAAATAGGCCTTATTATAGTCATGTATATGAGTCGTTTGTAATTAATTGGAAGCTTAGAGCGTTTGTCTGGTAAGTGCCTGGAGTAGTCGGAAACGTTGAGCAGTTTCTTGTCGTTTCAGTCTTGTATGAGGATTCCATGTGAGTCGTTTATCGAGGTGGAGTCCTAGGTATCTTCAAAATATTAATTCGATATATCTATATTTGTTTGAAAACAGTAAAAATCAAGCAATAATATCAATAAATAATATAGTAACAATAAGTTCTGTAAAGCACTTTAAAATATATAAATCGATAGTTATCAAATATATCGAAATTACGATAGTTCGGGTATAGATATATTGAATAAATGAATCTTTGATAAAAGTTAAAGAGGATTTACATTGAATTAAAGTCTTGGATTTGTAATAGCTTTAACAACAACAATCAGATAATTAAATTATTTGTTGTGAGGGTTTGTTCGCCCTCAAAACTGTTATCAGTTACCGTCCTATTGTGGATCTTGTGTCAAATATTCTTCAACATGTGAATTTAAAATATAGATATATATTAAATTTCGTTTACATATTGGCTATTAACAAAAATAGCATAATGGATAATTCATTACTGCAGTTGGTTGTTTTTATAAAAATTTTAAATTTGATACTCCCAAGTATTGAAAAGTTAACAGTTTGGATTGATTAAATTTTAAATTGAGCCCTTATGATAAAAACATCAATGTCAGCAGGTTAACAGCTGATTGGATAAAATATCTACACCCAAAGAACAGCTGATATAATGGTTATTTAAACCAAGGCTACTAAAAAAAATTAATCTGAAAATTTAATTTTTATACATAACTAGAGAGATACTCCCTGTCCACTTACTTAATGGCGGAACAACCCCCATTTTACAAATTATACAACTGTTCATTTTATTGTACTGTTCGTTGCTCAAATTGTATATTGTAATCTGCGTGTATTCTGTAGTTCAGATTGTATTACTGATTATCGACATAAAAAAAAAAAAAAAAAAACGAAACGAAACCATAGTTCTTACAAATTTTGAAATCCTTTAAAAATCTGTATTATACATCGGGCCTTATTATTAATTTCTAACCATAATATATATTCAACTTGTCCAGCTTCATATAAACCAAACATAAATTTGAGTCTTTTATTTCTAAAATTTTCATTATACGTTACATTGTGCTTCCTTTTCTATTTCATAATAATTATAATTATATCTTAATATAATATAAATAATATTATTCATAATATAATAATATATTGCATTCAAAGGAAAAATTTCTAGATCGAAAAATAACTGCTGTCGTCCAGGTAAAATCACTTCCAGTTGAATACCACCATTTACATACAAGTTTTAGATCTAAAATCTTTATTTTGTATTAGGAGAATAGGAGGTTACATGAGCTTAACACATATGTAATTAAATGAACATCTCTATAATCACTGCTTATTATAGAGCTAATCGGAGTTTTCCTGTAATTCTCCTACTATCCTAATACTAAAATAAAACATGACAGCCACTGAAAACATTTTTATATTATAGAGAGATAAAAGAACCTGTTGACCTGGGTGTCTATTATTAGTACAATATACGCTTTCAGAATTATTTTATGAACAATTAACTAGTTTACTGTACAGAAAAAAAATCGATAAAAAATTAAATTCGTTGGCACTTAAACCTATTATCAGACCTTAAGCTGTGGTACACTTTCATGTTGAAAAAATCTGTGAAGAGATTAAATGTAAACTAAATTGGTATAGAATATATCTAAATTCAAAATTAAAAAAACCTTCTGTATCATAGCTCATTTTTGTTTAAATCAGTTACCGTTGTTTTTAAATTATATGAATCATTACAAATATTATTTATGTTTTTGTTTGTTTACTTCTTTGAAATACAATCTCTCTGGTCAGAGGTGCTTCTTAGCCAAAGTGGATTTTGACGAATTTTAACAGGATTTGCTGGGAGTACTTCTTCCGACCCGTTCTAATATATTTCTTTTCGTGCCAAGTTTCAAGTTGTCTTATATATTATTAAATATTCTGTTCCGAAATAAAATTTTGAAAAATATTTACTTGTAAATAATACAAAACAGCGTAAACATTTTGAATATTAAAAAATAGTACATGATAGGATTTTGCCAATTATGGAAGAGCTAGTATCATTGCCGTGAAAAATAGTCATTTCAATTAGGAAAACCGCTGTATCTTTACTAATAATTCTCTGATTTCGATTCAACTTTCTTCGTTTTTTTAGGAAATTTAAATACTTTTAAAATATCTTATCGGAATATCCACAAAATAAGTGAATACTTTTGGAGTTATTCGGAATCTAGGATCACGGAATCATCGGGTGACCACTAACTTTAAATCCAAATTTGAAAAAAATCGAACCAGTAGTTTCGAAGAAAATACGCAGAACGCGGATGGCGGACAAAAAAATTTGTGTTCGTTTTTCGAATTCTATGTATTCTGAAACGTCAAACATCAAATTTTAAGAGAGGGTCAAGGTTTTGATTTTTTAGTTCGATTACAATGGTTCATTATTGAAAATAATAAACTAAAAATATTTTTAAAACTCGATATCTTTACTAATAGTGCTCTGATTTCGATGAAAATTTCTTTGTTTTTTAGAAAATTTAAATACCTTTGAAATATTTTATCACAATACCCACAAAAAAAAGTGTATACTTTTTGAGTTATTCGGAATTTAATTTGACCATACGACCCCCATACCAGACTGAAACGACTAGAAACCGCCCGACGTTTTCGACTACTGCAGCACTTACTAGACAAACGATCTAAGCTTTCAATCAATTATAAACGACTCGTATATATGGCAATAATAAGACCTATTTGGACTTACGGAATTGAGCTTTGGGGCTCCACTAAACCATCGAATTCCTCTCGTATCCAATCCTTACAATCCAAAATCCTTCGTAAAATCCTCAACGCTCCTTACTTTGTCACAAATAAAATCATCCATAAAGACCTTAATGTTACATATGTTTCCGATCTGGCCCAATCCAGATACCTTTCCTTCCATAACAAACTGCAGAATCATCCGAATCCTCTCGTTTCAAACCTTGCTTCATCCTCGATCCCTGATAATCCTCCGAGGCGTCTGAAAAGAAGATGGCCTCGGGATCTTCTAATATAGAACTTTAATTTGAGTTCTACCAATGGGTAGTTTCTCTTCATGTTGTACATGCCATGTTACAAATTTCTCATTTACTTATTGTATTCTCTATGTAATGCAGTTGTAAATTCCATTGAAATAAAAAAAAAAAAAAAAAAAAAAAATTTGACCATAGCTCGTAACTTTTTTTTCTCAACAATACAGGTTTTCCAGCCACCATCTTGTAAAGAAAATGATAATAGTATTGTAGATGAAGGAGTATCATCCTCGGGTAACCTTTGTTTTTAAATCCAAATTTGAAAAAAATCGGTCCAGTAGTTTCGTTGGCGATATCTTTACTAATACTGCTCTGATTTCGATGAAACTTTCCTCGTTTTTTAGAAAATTTAAATACCCTTGAAACATTTTATCACAATATTCACAAAAAACTTACTGAGTTATTTGGAATCTTATTTGAACTCACAGCTCGTAACGTTTTTTCTCAGCAACACAGGTTTTTCAGCCGCCATCTTGTATCGAAAATGAGGATACTATTGTAGATGAAGAAGGATCTTCCTTGGGTGACCTCTGTTTTTAAATCTAAAATATCAGTCCAGTAGTTTCCAGGAGAAAAAAATCATTAGAGTTTTTTTCACTACTTCCAGCCGTTCTGATCATATATCTGTTACTTAAGATGATTGTATTTTTAATATTCTACTTATTTTTAATTCGTTTAAGATCTATACGATTGTTTTGAGAAAATGCACCTGCATTCTGTTCCTTTATTCTATCCACTATTTGTGGTGGTGCGACTACTTTCCCAATAAAGTTCTAGGTATGCTAATTATAAATATAATTATTTTAATTAGATTATGATAAAATTACAACGAAAACTTCTTAGCTTACTCACTCCCTCTCAAGTTGCGAAGTAAACATTGATCCTGTTATGACAGCTATAAGAAGACAGCGTAAAGCCAAGTTACACGGAGTTACATAACACAGGGGGGCTCAGGTGGGGGGAGGGGGAAAGCGTGGAAATG